GTTGAACCCATGCCCCTTGGGTCATAGCAAGGCGCCTCATCCACCAAGCCAATCTATTGTTTGTGATTCAAACCTATTCTACGTAACAACAGGAACTCATTTGGGCAGTTAATAAACATTAGCAATGCATGAAATTAATTATATGAACGTTTGAAAGAAAAGAAAATCGGAGAAGATGAGTATGCTTGTTTCAAGCATCAATGGCCATGACTTTAGACCTATTCTTACCCTTAGATACCTCAGGAATGATTTGTAATTGATGGCTTGGACTGAAAGTGACTAATCTTTGGTTTTGACTTTGCCCTAGTTTTGAAAAAAATTGAGGTTTTTAGAGAGTGTTCTTGGACATCCAATTTCTTGCTCTCTAGTGTATGAGGTGTTGTGTTTATATAGAGGAGGAATTTAAGTAAAAAATAATGGAAGAAATCTCATGGCATCAATTGCATGATTTATTTCCAAAATTCATTTGAAAAACTTTCCAAACTTGTGAAAATCTTGTCTTAATGATATTTGCTTGGTTGTCATGATTTTTAAAGCTTGCTATGAGCTATTTGTACCCCAAGAAATTCAAATCTTAAGCCTTACATGCCTTGTGCATTAATCTTGCATTTTATTTGATTTAATTTGAGTTTAAATGAATAATAGCAAAAATAAATGAAATAAAAATTAAAATAATGCATGGATCGGTTTATGGGTTCTTAATCATGTTGTAATCACGTTCAAACTTTAAAAGCTAGGCCCATTAGTCCACAAGTTCAATATTTCTCAATTTGGACTTCATGCACTTTCTCAAAAATTTCCCAACTTGTGCAAGCCATAACTTGCTCAATTTTTATCTTTTGGAGATGAACTTTGACTTTTTAGAAATGTAAAGATGTCCCCTACAACATCTATGTTTACTATTTTTTCATTTGGAGAAATTATCTTGATGTAAAGGGTCTTGGAAAAAAGTGTCTTTTGTTGACTTTCTGAAAGTGACCTGTAATGTATGAGCTTATATCTTTCCAATGGTGCGTTTCCTGAACATGAGGGATGAAGATAAGTTGTATGGAATTTGATTCTATTCAAAATGAGCCTTTGTGGAGAAATTTATGATAAAGTATGAGAAAGTTATGGCTGGTCAAAGTTCAATTGACTTTTCCTATAAAAACCCTAATTAACAATTTTTGACTTTTGATGAATTAGGAGCATTTCTTGAGGAATCATGATCAACCCTTGATAAAATGATGGATACCACTTAAAAATGTTGAAGTTGACAAAAAAATCTTGAAGTTTGACTGTATATAGGCCACAATTGACTTTTGACCTAGTACAATTGATTTTCAAGCATTTGAGCAGTTAATTGAGCAAACTTGTTATGCAGGGCATGAAATTTGGCATGGACAATCTTGAAGACATATTAGGACCATGGAAAACATTTGATACCTTTTGAGCTCACACATCTTGGTGAAAAGGGAAACCCTAATTAGAGGTTCATTGCTTAAGGGGAGAATTTGTCTGGTCAATTCTTGGTCATCCTTGAGCAATTGGGAACCTTAATGAGCATGTCTTGAGTAAAAATAGGAGGGCACAATTTGGGGTACAACAAATTCCCCTGTTCAATCTTCTTAAACCTGAGGGTTTAGATTGGCTTGTCTACCTTTCGTGATCTGAAGGTGGAAGACGATTGAACACTAGAGTACCCAGAAATTTGCACTCGTATAAATAACACTGTTGGTTGATGCTAATCGGGAATGGGCTTACAAATTCCATTTGGAGTAGATGATTGAGATTCTTCATAGATGGGCTTAAAGATGCCATCAGAATTAGATGACTGATAGTCATAAATGGTCCCTTTGTGGGGATTCCTATTCTTGTTGTCCGAGGAGGAGTCCACTGGGGGATGTTGATTTCTGTTGTTTTGCTGTTTGAGGACAACTCTATGGGAATAGAGTCTAGGAACTTTAGTTTTCCATGACTCTACTAAGGGGTTATCTCTGGATTGGAGAGATTAAATTTTATTGTTTTCTGGTTGAAATCCAGGCTTCGCAGTAATTTGCTGGGGAGAATGAAATTAACTGCTATCTGGAAATGTATCAGAAGAAACCTGTGTAGGGCTATTTCAGGATGAGTCTGGGTAAGACTTCATCTGGAAGTGTATGAGAAGGAACCTGGGTAGGGCTATTTTAGGAGATATATGAGAGGGAGCCTGGGTAGGGCAGCTTCAGGATGAGTCCGGGTAAAACTGTATCTGGAAATTGTAAGAAGAAACTCGGGTAGGGTTGCCTCAGGATGAGTCAGTGTAAAACTGCATCTGGAAATTGAAAGAAGGAACTTGGGTAGGGTTTCTTCATGATGAGTCTGTGTAAAACTGCATATGGAAATTCAAGAGAAGGGTCCTGGGTATGGTTGCTTCAGGATGAGTCGTGTAAAACTGCATCTGGAGATTGTGAGAAGGAACCTGGGTAGGGTTGCTTCAGGATGAGTCAGTGTAAAAACTGCATCTAGAAATTCAATAGAAGGAACATGGGTATGGTTGCTTCAGGATGAGTCTGTGTAAAACTGCATTTGGAAATTCAAGAGAAGGAACATGGGTAGGGTTTCTTCAAGATGAGTCCGTGTAAAACTGCATCTGGAAATTCAAGAGAAGGAACCTGGGTAGGGTTGTTTCAGTATGAGTCTGTGTAAAAATGCATCTGGAGATTGTGAGAAGGAACCTGGGTAGGGTTGCTTCAGGATTAGTCTGTGTAAAGCTGTATCTCGAGATTGTGAGAAGGAGCCTGGGTAGCGTTACTTCAGGATGAGTCCGTGTAAAACTGCATCTGGAAATTCAAGAGAAGGAGCCTGGGTAGGGTTTCCTCATGATGAGTCCGTGTAAAACTGCATTTGGAAGTCAGAAGAAACCCGTGTAAGATTTCTTCATGATGAGCCCGTGTAAAGTTGTATTTGGAAGTCAGAAGAAACCCGTGTAAGATTGCTTCATGCTGAGGCCGTGTAAAGCTGTATTTGGAAGTCAAAAGAAACCCGTGTAAGATTGTTTCATGATGAGCTCGTGTAAAGCTATATTTGGAAGTCAGAAGAAACTCGTGTAAGATTACTTCATTATGAGCCCGTGTAAACCTGTATTTGGAAGTCAGAAGAAACTAGTGTAAGATTGCTTCATGATGAGCCTGTGTAAAGCTGTATTTGGAAGTCATAAGAAACCCGTGTAAGATTGCTTCATGATGAGCCCGTGAAAAGATGTATTTGGTCGCACAGATAATTACTCGATTTTATTTCAGGAGCTAATCATGGACCTATTGAGGATTGTTGATGAAAAATATCTGTTGATTGATCTTTCCTAAAAAGGTAAAGCGTTAGCTATATGCAATGTCATAATGTATGAAATGCATTGTGTAATGGTGTTCATAAAATAAATGAGATTGGGATGTATGCATTTGTACTGCAAATGCTATGACGTTTGTAGAATGATGTATGAATGCAATATGTGAATGTATCAGTTGTTCTATTGGAGCACTGTTGAATTAGGGAAAATAAATCCCTGATTGCAACTGGCAATGAAGAATGTAGGTCTTCAGATTTTGTTGAAGTTGAACTGCTGGGAGATGATCTTCCGTTGTTAGAGAAATAAACTCTGTTGGGGAAGGAAAGCTCTATGCACTGCCTGAGAATTTTGTGAAATCCTGAGAAGTTTGACGACTTTACTGGGGAAAACCTGATGTCGGAGCAGTAGTTGGAAATTCTTGTTCTGTCGGGGATACAAGAACACCTGACATTACTAGGTTGTAAGTTGAGGATATGGCGGCGAATTTTTAGTAAGATGCCCCTGCCTCAGTACCTACTGAAGAAAGTACATGCCGAGACTTTGTGGATGATTTGAGTGTCATCCCAACTCTTGGGGTGTGTTGCACCCCAAAATTTGCCCTCCTAATTTCTTCTAGTTTGGCTTAGACTATCGCATTCATCTGTATCTATTTCATTAGGTCATTAACATGGCATACATTTCATTCAATATAGCTATGCGGTTTAAAATTCAGTGGTTGTGCGATATCATGGTTTCGCAGCGGTTAAGGCGTCCGTATCCAATAAAGGCTGATTTCTTATTCAGGCAGTGAGCAGTGGAATTGGGATTGTGAGTCGTAGTCATGAGAATTTCTTTCTTCATTAAAGTTCAAGGGCTATTATCCCTTCAATTTTATCAATGTCAGAGATTAGGATTTACTTCCCTATACCAGGTCAAGAGAATCGAGATTTCTCTTCATTTTGTTCAGGCTTGGTAGTGGTTCTTCAATGGAGGTTTATCGGACTAAAGTCTCACTTCAAGGCTACATGGAGCACTACCCTCCCCTTGTTGGAGGTTCGTCATCATCTAAGGACTACTTGTTTTATAAGTCGACTTTGTCCAGGATGCCTGAGGGATTGAATCAAAGTTTTCTCCTTTGACAAGCGATTAAGGATTGCTTTGAGTCCAGATATGTCTTGTTAGTTAAGCTATGGGTCAGGAGTTCATTTAGCTCATTTTACCAAATGAAAGGTGGTTGTTTCAAATTCAAGATGACTAGAATTTATGGATTTATTTGGGATTAAGGTTCAGTAATTAAACATGCCATGGAAGTATACTAATTTAATTTTCTTACCGAGCGTTGATCGGCTCAAGGGCTCATATATGTTATGAATTCCGTTGGCAAATAATCAAGAAGCATAATTCAAGGTATCGGTTTATGACTCCCTTATGGCCAAGCCAAGCATGTAGAGTGGAAAACCGAATAGCGTATAACATTAGAATTCCACTCATATTTTCATTAGTATATTTTAGGGTATATGTTAATTTGTAACATTATTAACCTAAATTGAAAATAAAAGCCCAACTTTTGTAGTTATAACCCTCGAAACTACTACCCCTCTCCTAAACTCTAAAGAACGCCTCTATCTCTCTCTACGGAGTGCGGACCCACTGGAGCATGATGGTAGTCTTAATGGAGCTGTAAAATGCATTTGTTAGCGAAGGAGACAGAAATTCGATGACCAGCTCTGCCACATTTCCTCAAGGGGATTTCACGGACATAGATGATGATCCACGCGATGATGAAATTCTTATACCTCCATCTCTTCTATCTACAGCCGGAAATCTCCATCCATTTTCTCTTCTTGATCCTACACTTGGTAGAAATATATTTTATACTCATCTCGGTTCAACAAACCAGAGGCCATTTGTTACACATCCAAGAGAGGTAAGGGAGATTCCAATAGAGGTTAAGGATGGTAGTCAATCCACTCCTCAAGGTGGCCACACTCCAATCGTTAAAGATGTCACTGGAACTGTTCATGCCCAAGGTTCGGGTACACATGGGAGTGTCGTAATAATTAATGATGATGATGACGACGATACTCCACCTGCTCCGACTCATACTTTGCCTGACAGTAGTATAATACCTAGTGCTCCCAACTTTGATAACTTACCAGATAGTGGCAATGACATAGAAGAAGCAATGATTTGTGCAGCCATTGAGTCATCCAAACAGAAGGCTGAGGAAAATTACAGCAATCACGAACTTGGCAGACAAGTTAACTTAAGTGAATCTGGGCCTAACGCAAGGCAAACATTTGTGGAGGATCCTGAGCTTGCCCATGTAGTTTCATTGTCCCTGAAGACAGCAGAACAAGAAAAAGCACGGCGCGTACAAGAAGGTGATGTTGGAGCACCTTCAGCGGGACCATCTAATGATTGACCTAGAGACTAGCATTCCATCTCATGCAACAAATACAGCGATAAGCGAGGACCTTGGACAAATAGAGTACATTTTGACAGACAAAACATGCACCTTGACTGAAAATAAGATGATATTCAGAAGATGTTGTATTAATGGAATTTTCTATGGAAATGAGAGTGGAGATGTATTGAAAGATGTAGAGCTCCTTAATGCTGTTTCCAGTGGTTCTCCTGATGCTGTACTATTTCTTACATGGCAATATGTAATACTGTCATACCCACACGAAGCAAAACTGGAGATATCTTGTATAAGGCACAGTCTCAGGATGAAGATGCTCTTGATTAAGCTGCTGCTCAGCCGCATATGATTTTCGTCAATAAAAGTGGAAACATTCTTGAAGCCAAGTTCAACACTACTATACTTCAGTATGAAGTCCTGGAGATCTTAGAGTTCACTTCTGATAGGAAAATAATGTCAGTAGTGTTGAAAGATTGCCAAAATGGAAAGATCCTTCTCCTGTCAAAGGGAGCAGATGAGGCTATTCTTCCATATGCTCGTGCTGGGCAGCAAACTCGTCACTTCATTAAAGCTGTGGAACAATATGCTCACTTGGGATTACGTACACTATGTTTGGTTTGGCACGAGTTAAAGAAAGATGAATATCAAGATTGGTCTTTGATGTTTAAAGAAGCTAGTAGCACTTTGGTTGATAGGGAGTGGAGAGTAGCTGAGGTCTGCCAAAGAATAGAACATGACTTAGAAATCCTTGGTGTTACGGTGATAGAAGATCGCTTACAGGATGGAGTTCCTGAAACAATAGAAACACTAAGGAAAGCTGGAATACATTTTTGGATGCTAACAAGAGATAAACAGAATACTGCAATAACAAAACCCCAAGTAACTGAATGAAACCGTGAAAATGGATCAATCTCAGAACCAGCGATCACTAACAACACCACCACCACCATCGCGTTCTGTTCAATTCCACCCTGCTCGAGTACCGATTCTCGATCTCCTCACTCTACTTAGGACTTGGAAGAAACAGCCGCAACAAACTCGACGACTCACTCCGCGAACCACCGAACAAAGCGCAAAAACGCGTGCATGCTATTAACAGAGAGCTTCCACCGCCAAATGAGCAATTCATTTTAGATTTTGAGCAACTTCAGAGCCAGTTTCTGGACCATGAGCAATTACGTTTCGTGGTTGAAGCTGTTCTTATACCATTGGTTGCACAGTGTAGTGGTCATGGGTCGTGATCAGACTTATTTTTATTTTTCGAAGCTTGAGCGGTATTTGGTGCATTAACTGGGATGCCTTTCTTCCGTCCCTTCTTTCTTCAATTTCTTCGGCAGAATTACCGGTTGATCAAATTAGTCAAGCAGTGTCAAAAATTACCTCTTCTAGCTTATCACAGTCAGGAATGTTGCCTCCTCTAAATACAATTACTAATTCTTCTAATTTTCAGTCTTCAAATCCTGCATCTCCATTGAATTTTGTCCATACTATTGGCTCCCCTGCATAGCCATCGATTGAGCCATCATCTGATATTTCCTCGAGTCAATTACAATCTAAACTAAGAGGCGGACCGTCTATTGAAAATAATGATATCAGTAACAGTAACCTTCGCCAACTATGTTGCAAAATCATTTTAACTGGTCTGGAGTTCAGTTTAAAACTTGTGACATATGCCGGAATCTTCAACCATATGCTCAATTGGCTGGTGAATTGGAACCAGAGACAACATGGAGTTGATGAATCTGTTATTCTGAAGTCATGGAGACTTGACAAAACTGTAATTGCCTGGCTACGTAGTTGCTTGGATGTGATCTGGCTTTTAGTTGATGAGGGAAAATGTCGGGTTCCCTTTTATGAATTATTACGTAGTGATTTTCAATTCATAGAAAATATACCTGATGAGGAAGCATTATTTACACTTATCTTGGAGATCCGCATGAGACGAGACATGATGGCTCTGCACATGAAAATGTTAGACCAGCATCTTCATTGCCCTACATTTGGGACTCATCGGATCCTAAACCAGACCACACCTACTATTTCAAATTTAAACGAAGCAATAGCGCACCTGCGACTGTCACCACTCTCATATTTAAGTGTACTTAGAGAACCATTGCCAGGAGAGGATATTACAACCTCTATTCAGAAGGGAAGTTTGGACTGGGAGAGAGCTGTACGTTGCATCAGGCATGCTCTCCGTACCACACCTTCACCTGATTGGTGGAGACGAGTACTGGTACTTGCTCCTTGCTACAGGCCTTCATTTCAAGGGAGTACTGCTGGTGCTGTTTTTTCTTCAGAGATGATTTGTGAAGCAGTTATTGATAGAATTGTAGAACTATCCAAATTAAAAAATTCAGAGATAAATTGCTGGCAGGACTGGATTGTCTTCTCTGATATTTTCTATTTTTCTTACAAAAAGTGGGTGCATTGATTTTATTGACTTTGTGGACAAGCTGATGTTGAAACTTTGAGAGCAAAGGTGAAGATGGCTGAAGAGACTGTCAAAAGAATTACTAGATTGAATATGATGTTTCGCATCATGCCTGATATGTCATCAATGGGCATGCCTTCATTTGATGGAAGCACTTCAGAAAATTCAGCTGACGCAGTTGTTCCTGTGCAAGACGATCCACATCATCGCTTCTACCAACATACATAACAGAATTTTCTAAACAAAATTCTAAATATCCTATTCCAAAATTAACCTGCAAACTGAATTACTAATTCCCATAACCAAATTCCAACAACTTACTAACAACCTCCATAACAAACTTCAACAGAAAATCCCAACTGTTTTAATAATACACAACAAAACCTCCAAACAGAATTCCCAACTAGCATAAACACCTTGTAACAAACTCTCAATCTCACCCTTCAATCCCTAACAAACTCTACCCAAATCAATGGTTCGGATTGATTCTCACATAACCATTTCCATCTCCCTCAACTACCTATATAATCCAAACTCCCTCCAAGTTTCAAAAAACGAAGTCACTCTCTCTTTTCTAGTTTCAAAACTTCATCATTGTATCGGCTTCAAAACAACTTCTTCCCTCTCCATCATTCACTCTCAATTTTTCTGAACTCTCATAATCTTCAATTTCCCCTCTCTAAACTCCGTCTTCACCTCCACTCTCCATTGTTCGACCTTCAGTTAGTTCTCAAAGCTTCACTTCTCTCTGATTCATCATACAGAGTTCATTTTTCTCAACTTGCGATAATCTTCATAATTGTCATCATTTCCTCTCTTCTTCTATCGCCAACGCACGCAACCCCCAGACCAAAGAAAAGTGAAGACAGTGATGAGAGGATCAAGACGAAGCAGACAAGATCAAGAAGGACAATAATTGAGTTACTTCATCTCTGGATTTCTGAAGCGCTACCAACGTGTCTTTAATAGGTAACCCTCAATCTTCTTCTGTTTATGACTTTTTGCTTGGTCTGTACCATAACCGCAAAGGGTAAAATATGGCGAACGATAAATCCACCATGTAATCTTGATCGGAAGAAATGTAGAGCTTAAGTCTCGTTGTTAGATTCGGGATAGAGGAAGAGAAATTGACGAAAGCAAGCCAAGGAGTCGAATTCAGAGAGAGACTTTAGGTGATGTTAACAAGAAAGTTGAATCAGAACAGGGGAGAAGGGATGGAGTCATGGCGGCATCGCCATTGTTGTTTTCAAATGTAGAAGAAAGGCTTTCTGCGTAAAGGAGCTGGAGGGGGCCGTTTACAGTAAACGCCGTCGTTTTGGAATTTTTTTCTTTTCTCCTTTTATTATTATTCATTTATTTAATGGTTATTTCAAATGGTTAAATAAAAAAAAATAAAAATAAAAAAGAGAAAGAGGAGAACTTATTATATTATTTTTATTATTTTGCCTTTAGGAATTAATTCATGATTATCCGATTACTCGAGACTTGTAATTCACTTTTGCTCGTCAAGATTCGAGTCTGATGCAGGTTTTTTGTATGTTATATGGATACGCTCGAGATTCCGATTGTGATTTATTTTCACACTGAGGATGCTTCAATAATCATTCTAAATATTGGATTTCTAACTCTTTTCTTTGTTGGTGCTAGCAGCTCGCAAGAATATCGAGTCTCTTTACTTTTTTTGCTTTGCTCCACGGGCTAGTACTCGTTTGGTATATTTTCTTTCTATTTTCACCTTGCATTTATCTCTACATAAAGGTCGTATGAAGTATAATAAAATTAGGTTAGAAATAAACTGGTTTCCCTGTGACTTGTCCTTCCCTTTTTTGCATAAGCATTTAAAACAAAAACTTCTCCTTTTTTAAAAACTTCAAAAATACATAAAAATTTACTGACAAGAACCATGTCTTGGATAAGTTTGAGAGATGATAAGCGGGTTTCTTCTCGACCTTATTATTCTCTTGTTATAAGCTTTGGTATGATTCAAGTCTCAAAGAATCATTTCATGAATAAGTAGAGACATGGCTAAAATCTCTCTCTTGAGGTCAACTAGTTGTTACCTACAAGCAAAAACACCGACAAATACAAACTCTTTTTGCCTTTGGGCCTTCCTTTCAAACCTTTTTCAAAAGAACATTGTGATCGGTGGATCTGGAACTGACTGTTTAACGCTGGTTTCGCGAAATGTCGCGGAAGCAAGAGTCGCCACCGTCTTTTATTTTCTCCAAATGGAAAGGACAAAAGCACAGAAAAATTCCTTAAAGAGATTGCTCTCGGTTCGGGAGGTAGGTTATAGAAAGGGAAGGTGTTAGCACCCTTTCTATCCATGGTTATCCATGGGCTCTTAGATACTTGCTCATTGTGTTTTCAAAAATGGTTTGTTTGCTTTTCAACTGTGGGTTTTAAAAAGTTTCTTTGAAAATTCCAGTTCGACTCTTGTATCGGTCCTCAAGAGTGTTTGAAAAGTTGCTTTCGAAAGCTTTTTGAAAAGGTGTCGGTGTGAAAAGTATTTTTGATTTGTTTTGAAGTTAGAGCAAGTATCTACGAGTCGTCTACCTACCCTAAGGAATTCGTCTGTGTAAATGTCCTTTAAAGTAGTGCCATCCCACCATTGAGAGGTAGGTAGCACCACCGTTGGAGGTGTTCGGGTCAATTCGAGGTTCGGGACATGGTGATCACCAGAGCAATGGGAAGACACCTTAGAAGCTACCCTCATGCCAGGTTCCCGGATCATGAGGACTTACTAAGACATCCTCTACTCGACGATCACCTTTCGAAAGGCAACAGTGAGGCGTACCCTAGGGGTGGTGTGTGCGATTCGTGTGTCGTTTTCATTTGCATTTGTCTTGTCATGTTAAAGTGATCTACGCTTGATTTTATTATGTCCATTCATTCTTGCATGCTTATTTAACAGTTAAAAGTTGCGAGGAAAAGTAAATTCTAAACTATTACAAATGGCGCGGGTCCACATCGCCAAAATTAAACCGGACCCGATTTGACAGAAAAGTAAAGAATCAAAAGAATTTAAAAAGATGCGAAAAGTAAATGTTACAAAGCTTTGGGAGAGATACATAATTAATTGAGCGAAATAAAAATAAATACGCGAAATTTAAACAAATAAGAATATGGGCGTTGGACCCTTTTGCAAAATTAAATTAATAAGGAATTAAAATTAATATTAAAAGAAAATGTTTTTGGTATTTTTGTGTTTTTTAGATTTAATGGAAAAAGAATTAATTAAAACTAAAACAAAATGTTAAACCTAGTTCTAATTATTTTTTTTTTAAGCTATTAAGAAGAATATTGAATTTTAACCTAATTTAAACCTAAGTTAATTTACATGCAAGTTTAATTATAAAAAAATAAAATAGATATTATTATTGTGAAAAAGGAATATTAAAAAAGGAATAAAAATTAACTAAACCTAATTCTACATTTTTTAGATTTTATTATGAAAAGAATCAAAATTGTAACTTAATTTAAAACTAATTAATTACATGCTAATTTATTTACAAGAAAATATCAAAATAAATAATCATTATATTTTTTATCTTTTTCTGAGTTTTTATGTATTTTTATTATATTTTGTAAAAAATAATTAATTAATCTAAACAAATAATAATTAAAACAATAATTGAAAATAAACAATAAATAAAGAAAATGTATAGAATTTGCAAACCAGGGGGGTGGAAATCCCAGATTGTGAGGGGTAATCCTAGAATGCTGGCCCAAAACCCTGAGTCCATTTGACTTTTGTGAGTAACGTGTGGGATGGTTGACCTGAGCTTATAGTGGACCTTCAATCTCAGCCTTTGATCTGAAGCAACTAGACGCGTGGCTGGCTTGATGATGATGGAATATGGTGCTCTATGACGCTTACGCTGCATGGGAATACACATGAAAAAATGATATTGAAATATGCAAGACCTGGGACTTGAACCCAGGTCATGAGCGTCACCAGTTAACACCTGTACCGCTGAGCCGCTATCACGCATTCGTTAATTAAATAAACAACAAATATAATGAAAGAAAACAACGCGTTAGTGGACCCACGCGCGAAAATATTTAAACGTGCCAATCAGTTCTTGCCACGACTCCGTCTTCTTCGTGGCCTTTTTATTTTTTCTGAAACATGAACGCATTGGCCACGGTTTTTCCCCGTTCTCTTAGACACGTTTTGAGAAAATAGCGATTAGCCCCTCAACGCTCATAAATTGGGCGCGAGGGTGCCATCGTCTTCGTCTTCATGCGCTGAATCTAATGATCAAGGTCATATGTCCCAATTTTGCCTGGCTTTAAAATACCCAATTGGAAGCTCTGCAAACCCTAAATTTTAACAATGGCGATTTCTTGTACAGCTCATAAAAACACGATTAATTCATCCAGTTAGCTTCAGAATACATTAGTCAAGATAAATGCATAATCAAAATGCCATGAAAACGCTTAAATCTGGAAATACGAATTTGAAAAATATAAGAAAAAAGTGGATTTCTGTATACCAATTCAACGCGTTTGGGTGGCTGTTCTGGATTGGAATATGATCAGTGAAGCTTCAGGAAGCTGTTGAAATAGTTTGTGTGCCTTGAATCGCCCTGAAAAGGGGTTTACAGTTTTGACTTTTTTCAACAATTTTTCAAGTTTGTTTATGGCCTTTGAGCGCAGCATTCAGTCTGTGGGCATTAGGTTTTGAATCATGCTTATGTACTGAGGCTATTAGGTCAACAAAACTTAATCAAATCCATGGCAATAATGGTTTTGCATATTTGATTTTCTTAAGATCTTTTCATATCTTTTTCAAGTGTATTTTGTGTCAATTATGCTCAAATCAATCCAATTCTTTCCTATTTTGCATGTGCACGAAATCTTGATGGCAAAACCTGTATAAAAAGATTTGTTAAGGCATATTAGATATTTTTCATATATTTTAATGATTTAAATGAATTAATATAAATAATAATTCAAATAAATAAATAAAAAATGAGAAAATATCTCCCTTTGGGCCAAGTGGTGGTGCATATGCTTAGAATGATGAATCATGGAAGAAAAATGGGCCCATTTGCAATTTTAGGTCATTTGGATCAAAGTTGACTTTTCAAAATATCCAAAAATTTCCCAACTTCAACAAGGCATAACTTGCTCAATTTTTAAGCTTTTCTCATGTTCTTGGACATTTTGGAAAGGTCTTTGAGTCCTCTAACCAATGTATTTGGTCCCATGTCATTTTGATT